ACCTGTGACCAGAACAGCAACGGCCTTGGGAGAACAGGGGCGGCCCCTGAGGGGTTTCTCGTTTCCTGCGGGCCACAGCGTTACGACTGCATGCTGCCGTGGACTTGAGGAAGGTTGGAGCTAGAAAGGACTTTGGAAATGATCTGGCCCAAAGTCCTCTTGCCACAAATGAGCAAGTGAAGATGAGAGAAGTCACACCCATCTGGGGCGGCTCGGAGAGTCCATGTAAATCTGAACCCCAAGCCCAGGTCTCGTGAGGCCCAGTCCGATGCTCTGCCCACTGCCTTCCTTGTCTCTAGGTTTTTGTAGGGAATCTTCTGGGTTTTTTTGTTTGTTTGTTTGTTTGTTTGTTTGACCTCCTTTCCTAGGCTGCTGCCCACTTGCTGTCTTCATGCTGGGCCCGTGAGCCTCTCTATCCTGTAGGGAAGAGGGCCAAGGGAAGACCCGAAGTCCAAGAACCAAGTGTCAAAAGGCACAGAGCAAAGATGACATTTTCTCTTTGCCAGTGGTCTGTCTCTTCCATGCAGGAGACTTCCTGTCTCTACTGAAACTTGAAATAAGCAAACCAACAAGCAACAGGAAACAGAAAACCAAGGAGGAAAGAGAGACATTTGTCAAAGTGCCTCAGACCCTAAGCCACTAACCTCCGACCTCAAAGCCTCCCCATCACCCGTAAATATTTATACCTTGGGGAGGAAGGAGACGGACTAACCGCAGGGTCTAGGTCAGCCTGTCTAGTTACCAGCATATTTTTATGGTGTTTCAGTGTCAGCGGCAACATAGAAAAATGTGGCCTCTCCAGCGGTCAGCCTCTGTCCACCCCACTCCCCGCCAGCGCTGTGCCCCTCTGGCCCTCATTCATCCTCATCAGCAGCCCCCGTACCTGCATTTTCCTCTAATGTCCGAATTGACACCCACTCATTCTCCATGAATATTTAATGCCTTCCTTTCTGGACAAAGAGAGACCTTGAGGGTCTCTCTAGAGCAGCAGCAAAACTCAGGACGGAGGGTTTTCCGTGGAGTCCACTTTCCACGTGGCCGTGGGATGAGGGGATTAGAGTGGGCTGGGCGGGGCTGGGCAAGAGGTTTAGATGTTCACTCCTCTCTGGCCAACGCAGGCCGGCATTGCCCTCAGTCGTGCTGGCCTGAGAGATAGCAGTGATCGCTTCGGAAGACGTCCATGTCGGTCGTGGTAGATAGAACGCTACCCTGCTCACGGTGTGGCCTCGGCACAGCTTGGAGTACAAGGAGGGCACCCAAATCCTTGCCTCTGAGACTGATTCCTCCGGGAGCTATTTTATATTGTGATCAGAAATCGCAGCCTGAGTCTGTGTGGGGTGCGAAGGAGTCGAGGTGAGATGGGGAATGGATGAGAGAACGAGACCCAGATCACTGTCTGTGCGCAGAATTCCAGCTGCAGGCGGAAGGGGGGTGTCGGCTGGGGCTTCTCTGCCCCCTGTGTGCCAGGCTTACATCGAATCCTCGTCACCACCCGGCTGGGTGCTAGTATTATCCCCAGTTTCCATGAGGAAACTCAGGCAACCTGCTCCAGGTCACGGAGCCAGTGAAAGGCAGAGCCAGGAGTCAAACCTGGGTGAGCTGGCTCCACTGTGTAAGCTTCTAACTCTCCTCCCTGCTGCCTCTCAGGAGCTGGGCTGTCCCCAAAGTCCCACCTTCCCACCACTCCTGGGATGAGGAAAGCAGACGTTCTCCCAGTCCCCTGGCTCTTTTCCGAAATGTCTTGGCCTCCGGTGACTCTTCCTTCACTGACCCTTCACTGGACAGAAGCCCTGCTCCGCCCCACCCCAGGCAGTGCAAGTCAGTAGCAGGGCTTCTGTTGGAAGTTTGTTGTCATGGGAATTGGGAGTTTACCCTCCCACTGCCCTAGGGTCGCTCCACAGTGTGGAGGCTGCTAGGGGGCACCTGCCCCGGGGGGCTCCTCACCATGCCCCCCAGAGAATGCCAGCTCCCATCATCCCACTGACTTCTCTCCACCTTCCCCCAGGTTCCAAGTCTCAATCGCAAACGATGAACCAGTGCCACCCTTCAGATGGCCCTGGGCAGTTTAGTTCGCTCCAGCCCCATCTTTGAACATTGGGAACTGGACAGGGGGTTCAGTGGGGTGACAGGGCCGTCTTCTCCAGGAGCAACGAACCCTGCGTTTGGCACGTTGCCTTGGCCCGGCTCCATCCCGGGAGAAGACGATCGATCGTGATCTTAAATGGCATTGGTTTTCTCTTGTTACCTAAGAACTTGTATGACCACTGGCATTCTGTGAGCCCATGAAGGGGCACGTGGGGACATCCCTGCATATGCGGAAGAAGCCCTGCCCTAGAGGGACAGGTGGCGTTGCCACCTGAGATAGGTGCGGGGCCATTTCCCGTCTCCACACTCCCGGCTGGGCTGAGACTGAAGCAGCCCCTCCCACCAAAACGAGGCCTACGAGGCCTCTGAGGGAGGCCCCAGACCCGCGGAAGGACTGGACGGGGCCTCAACTCAGAAGGCTGCTAGGAAACCAGGGCCACTGTGGAGAAATGAGAGGGTGCCCCGCCCCAGGGCTGGCACCCAGCGATCAGACTCCCAAGGCCTCCTACCCGGCATTGCCCTTGGCATCGTCTGTGGTGATTTCCTTTAAAAGGAGCGCAGGGGCAGAACATGATGGGGAAACTCAGGAGCTACTGTCTCCGCCCCCTCCCCGCCTGGCAAACCCTCACCAGAGCCCCTTGCAGCTAGTTTGAATAGAGAGCCATGTCTTTGTGGG